TTAGTCTTAAGCATGGGTGGGGGAGGGCAAATATTAATTAAGGTGAAGTGGGGAGCAGAAGGCTATGTGGCAAGCAAGCATTCAGTGCCGTCAAAATCCCTTTCTGGGGGCCTGGAGACGGGGCTGTTTCTGAAATTCTGAGCCAGACCCCTCACTCCTTTCTCAAAGCCACCACCCCCCTTCTCAGAGGGCTGAACTGAACTCTTGCAACTGTGGTGAGCACAAAGGCGAATTCAGGTTTCTCAAAAGGCCCCTCCGCTCTGAATAAACACCAAGGAGAAGCAAGATCATTTTGGGTGGTGCACGAGCACAGGGCCCTCAGCCTACCATCTCTCTGGAAGGGCCTCGCAGGATCTTGCATTAAAAGTAACACTACTGGGGCAGCTGACGGTGCAGCCTGGCTCCCAAACTCCTCACCGCACAGCCAGCATAGGGACTAACTCCCCACTGCCTTGTTTCATCTCAACCCACAGCTTTTCAAGAGAAGCTTGAGTTCTCTGAGTGTGTATTTGCTATTTGCAGCCCTGGCTTTAATGAGACTCTTTTAACTCCCCCAAGCTGGTTTGCAGGTTATAGCCTTATCTGGGCACCCACATTTTTTTTCCACTCTGGCTACACATCCTGTGAACAATCGCCTCTCCAGAGCCTGAAAGGAGAGTGGGCCGGCACACCATTTCTGCTGAATGCACGTCTCAGTTCATCCGAGGCTGGCTGGCTTTTGATGGCCACAATGTGAGTAACGCCCAAAGAGTGTCTCTTTGGTCAGATCGACAACGCTTGGCTTCACGTTTGCAAGTTAAACGGGCAGAAACCAGGCTGAAACTCCCACGCCAGACGACGGGGACATTTCCCTCCTCCCTTCCCAGAGCAGAACTGGAGAATGGGCCTGGATGGGGGAGGCAAGACCGGAGAAGCAGTTGTGAGGAGGGCCTGGGGGAGACCAGACTCCTGATTCTCAGCAGCTATCTAGAAGAAGAAAGGAGGTGGGGGAGACCATTTTCTCTGGCATTTCTTTGTTTTTATTTTTTTCATTTTGCTTTGTTGGCAGCTTTACCCAAACAAAAAATAAAATGAGAGCGTTTTCTCCTTGTCTTCACCTAGGTAGCTGCTTTCCTCCAGCCCCTGAAAATGTGACTCCTTCATAAAATCAAAATTTATGATTATTCAAATGTTGGGGACTGTGAAAAGAGAGGAAGAAAGAGAGAAAATTAATATTGCAGCTGTTCTTCTGATTAATGAGAGATAATTGCTCATGAAAAGTCACCCCTGTGGCATTTTGTTGTCTCCTGGATCTTTGTTCTTTTCCACTATTATTGAGGACTTTCTTGAAGACTAAGCGGTTCTTTTCAATTTTTGGGTATTCAGAAAGGGTTGCCTGGTTACAGAGAATGGGGAAATCTCGGGCTATATCGGGTAAGATGTGCCACAGACAGCAATATCACAATGCCACTTGGAGAAAAGGATGGATACAAGTTAACGATGCACTTTCAATAAAACATTCATAGACTTGTTCACGCTTTGATAATGACCTCATTAAAGGGAGCTGGGGGCAAGTAAGTCCTGTCTTCTGTTTGTGTTCGGCTAACAAAACCCAGCTTTGAGATCATTCATTGCTTTGGAAACTAATATGAAATCAATGTAAGAGGAGCAAATAAATCCGAGGCGGCCCCGCCAACTCCCGGGCTGTCCCGCCCTGCTTGCGGCCTCCATTTGGAGCTGGAGAACCATGTGGGTAAATGCTGAAACTGAGAGAAAAAAGGATTGGGGATGAAAGAGGGGGGCACTTGGGGGATGCAGAGGGAGAGGCAAAGTAGGAGTTACAGGCTGGAAAAAAAAAAAAAGACTAAGCACATCAACGGGTCAGAACTCTGGGGCTTGTTGAATAAGCAATGCCAAGTCTCCCGCCCTTCACTGCCTCTGACTTTGCCCATGAAAGGAAACAGGAGGAAAAAGAAATGAGTCAAAAATGGGGGATTCAGGTCAGCTGCCATCACAGAGAGAAGAAGGAGGGCTGGAAGACCCTTTGGAAGCTAGCACTAAGCATTCAAATCTCCAGGCTGAGCTGGGGGGAAACTTCTCACCCAGGCTCCAGGTGGAGGTGCAGCGGCCAGAGACCCTGCAGCTACTATTCTTTTCAGGACTTTTTTGATCTTTTCCTATGTTGAGAGTAAGGGTGAGTGCCCTGGCCAGGAGGAGGTGGGGAGAATAATTTTGTTACTTTCACACTTGTGACACTGTCTTGCTTTTAAGGAAGACAAAACCATCCTCTATCATCCCAAGCAAGAGGGAATCAAAGGATTTCCCTCTTCCCTTAAAAGAACTAATTTTCTCCTTGAATTATGAAAGTAAGGGCTTAGGTAACAGCCTGTACTCTGTACCCAACTGCTTAATACCGAATAAATCCTTCCACGTGGCTCCCTGAGTCGTGGCAATTAGAGCTCATTATAGGCTCATAAGAGCTCTCATTTTGGGGATTACTTAATGGACGATGAAATTTTATCGGACAGAATCACTGAGAAATAAAATTGTGCGGCGGTGCGGGCATGGTGGGCACACGCCACCTCCCTGGAGAAAGCTGAGCTCGGGGTCTGAGCTCCAAGCAAGTTTGGGGCACTGCTGCTCTGGGAACAGCAGGGCTGGACAGGGCCAAGAAGAGTAGGTTTCCTTGGGGGGTAGTAGGTAGGCAAGTAGGGCCAGAGTCAGAAGATGAGGGCTGGATCCAAGAACAGAGGTGGGGGAGACAGAAAGACACAAAGATCAGAACAGAACTAGAGAAAGACAGAGAGACAGAAAACAGAAACTATGCAAGAAACAGGACCCCAAATTTCTCAGACTTGGTGTTTTCACTCAATTAACCAAGTACTCAAAAGACGAGTTTCACAGACCTGGTCCTGCTGTCTGCCTTACCCTGGTGGCTTAGCAACCCTCATCTTTCTTAAAATTCCTGGGCACTGGAACCTGAAAGCTCATGTAGACATAAATTGAATGAGATGCTCAAGAATACACACTGTATAATTAAGATTCTCTAAAATAAAACAGTCTGCACATGTGTGTGATTTCCAGCACATGAGCATAGGGATTCTTCCTGGGAGCACACCCCAGAGCCACAGGGAACACTGGGAGTCAAACTGTCAGCCCAAAACAGACCGTGAATAACCTACCTAACTCAGGAGGAAAAAAGAGAAAGCAACTGCTCTCAAAGAGGAGATACATACATGTGTTTGCCCAAAATGAATGAGGAAAATTGAGTCATCTATTAGGACAATTCAGGCCCGTAAAAAACACCCTGCCATGAAGCTTCTCTCGGCTATTGAGCTCCAGGTCTTCTTTCTGGGGCTGGATTCTCCTGTCATGAGCAAGGGCAGGCTGGGGTGAGGCTGAGCATCTGCAAAGGGTTCATCAAGAAACCTTGTGGTACAAAAGTAGTTACAGCTGAGCTGCCCCATGTTAAGCCCTGAGACTCCTTAATTGTTGTCACAAGATGTTGGATTAGCACATTTCTGGAATAGCTGTCTGTTTACACTCCAGAGACCCACCGTCCACTAACCGCTTTCTAATTGAATTCTAATCACATTCAAATAGCTCAATAACCAGCCTCAGCTGCAATTCATAAAACTTTAATTGCCATCCATAAATCCTGGGCTCCCCAGAGCTGGGCATCCCTACAACCCAATTACACTCCTCTAGCAAGCAGGAGAGACAGTCACAGAGATAGAGAGGGGAAGAGAGAGAAAGAGGCAGAGAAACAGGGCCAGTCTTCCAGCTAGTGCTGCCTTGGATTGGGGCACTTGGTTCTCTCAGGTGGAGAGAAGTTTCTTAGCACCATCAAGAACTCAGGGCTATAAGTTAGCAGTTCTGGGGAAAGAATCCCACTTGTGACTCATAGATGGTGCCTGGCCTCCTTGCTCCATCCCACTGTCCGTGCAGAGAGAAGAGAGAGAACTTTCACCTGTGCTGCCTTCCTCAGAATCACTAACCTTAAACCCTGGCAGCTACCTAGGGATACACACGTCGGCACCAACCAGAGAGAGTTCCTTTACCAAGCCACTTCTTCCAAAATCCTTTACCAAGCCACTTCTCCAAACTCAGGGGACTCAGTCCCTTCCATCCTTTTTAGGTTTCTGGGATGCAGAGGAAAGAGTTCATCCTGGTTGTCTAGACAGCTGCCCAAGACCAGTAAAATCCAGGGGTTTGGAGGCTACCAGATCCCAGGGAAAGGCCTCCTGCAAACGTGCCCTCCCCACCCCCGACCCTGCACCCCCAGCCGCCTACTGGAGAGCTGGTGTTTGGAGTCCTCTCTCCAAAATCTTTGGGATGGGGTTTGTAGAGTCAGCCTGGAAATGAAGTGTTGTAACTTAACTACTTGTAGGAAGAAAAGGGTGACTCTTCAATATCTCTTGGTGGAAGAGGGAGCTACGGATTAGAAAAGGGCACAAGGAAGGGTCCCTGGCCGGAGAGGTCCTTCTGGTGGCCCTCCTAAGTACAAAGACACTTCAGACCTTCTCAAGCATCAGAATGAATAGGTTGGTGGCTTCTTAGCTGGGAGGCTTTCCTGGATCCACAGTGATCTAACCATTTGAATGACCCTGGACAAGTCCAAAAGCTAAGGGACTGGAGTAGGTGAGACTGTGACTGGAGCCGCACTCAGGGATTGGACCGCTGCCAGACTCCCTCCTGCACAATACGGCTCCAAATCGCAGGCCTCACACTTCACCGCACGACAACCACTGTTATCCTGGAGTTACTGGGAGCACTGAGCATTCTCATTGAAAAGGTTTCCAAGTCCCCACCTGGTGCGTTTTGCGGCGGGGCGCGGGGAAGAGAGGGGCTGGGGCCCTGGGTAGCAATGCAGGATGCAGCGCTGTGATTCCTCGGGGAAAGCGTGGAGAAAGGGGGAGGAGGCCGGCCTCCCCGGGAAATTAACAAAACCTACACTTTGCAAAGTCTCCCCCAACCCCCTCCCCCACGTTCTCCCCTGCTGCGCTCCCGCCCCTCCTCGCGCTTCTGTTGTGACTCCGGCAGCCTATCCCGAGGGTGGGGAGCTGCCGAGGAGCCAGAGCCGAGCCGTACTCCGCAGCATCACGTGCCGGGGTGGGGGCTATAAAATCCGGGAGCCGGGGCGCCGGGTGGGGGACGTGAGGACCAGCCCTCTCCTGGGACCCCTTTGTTCCCGGCCCAGACTCCTACACCTTTGTGTCCCCAAAGGTTTGACCGCCCCGAGCTCCCGAGGCAGAGCCCAGAACACCAGAGGGGAGGGGTCGCGCGGCCGGCCGGACCCTCTAGCTGCCCGCCCCTCTCGACATGTCGCGATCCTTCTATGTCGACTCGCTCATCATCAAGGACTCTGCACGGCCTGCGCCCTCGCTGCCTGAACCGCACCCCGGGCCGGATTTCTTCATCCCGCTGGGCATGCCGTCCCCATTGGTGATGTCCGTGTCCGGGCCAGGCTGCCCGTCTCGCAAGAGCGGCGCGTTCTGCGTGTGCCCTCTCTGCGTCACTTCGCACCTGCATTCCTCTCGGGGGCCCGTGGGCGCCGGCGGTGGGGGCGCAGGGGCCGGGGGTACCGGGGCCGGTGGTAGCGGGGCGACTGGGAGCGCCGGGGCCCTGCCTTTGCTCAAGAGCCAGTTCTCATCGGGTCCTGGGGACGCGCAGTTTTGCCAGCGGGTGAGCCACGCGCACCATCACCATCACCCGCCGCAGCACCACCACCACCACCACCAACCCCAGCAGCCTGGCTCAGCCGCTGCAGCGGCAGCAGCCGCGGCTGCGGCTGCGGCCGCAGCGGCCTTGGGGCACCCGCAGCACCACGCACCTGTCTGCGCTGCCACCACCTACAACGTGGCGGACCCGCGGAGATTCCACTGCCTCACCATGGGTAGGGCGGGGTGTTGGGGTACCTGTACGCTGCGCCTTTCGCGCTCCTGGGAGAAAACTTTCCGCCTCCAGAGGAGGAAGTGGGAGCCCGGGGGCGGGCGGGAGGAGGAGGGGCTATTAGTGCAGCGGTGGAGTAGTCCCCAGAAGTTCCACGCCGGTGGAAGTTAGCTTACCACGCAGCCTGGAGCGTTTCACTCCTGGGGCCAGGTCCTCAGTATTGCGTAATATCGGGGTTTGTGGGACCTCGAATGTGATGGTAGAGTAACTGGAGGTTAACTGCTTGAGGTGTGAGTGGGTGTGTTTGAACGTCAATGCAGCAACCCTCCATCCCGACCAGTAAAGCGTTTTGATGTTTTCGGCTAAGCCTGCACGCCTCTCCGTTGAGCTCTAAGAGAGAGGGTCCTAAGTGCAAGTCCCCACCCTTCTTTAATCCTTTGACTTAACTTCCCACTCATCAAAGGCTTTCATTTGCTTGAGCGTCTCTTTCCTCCCCCGCTACCCAGCGTTGTGCCAAGAAACAGGAAAGGGTACAGGTGGCCTTCCGCTGGGGGTCCTTGAGAGGTGTCCTTTCCAAGAGATGGCACGTGGCGTGGTGGAGGCTCTCCTGAGCCTTACCTCTCTGTCCTCTCTTAACCGGTCCACAGGAGGCTCAGACACCAGCCAGGTACCCAATGGCAAGAGGATGAGGACCGCGTTCACCAGCACGCAGCTCCTGGAGCTGGAGCGAGAATTCTCTTCCAATATGTACCTGTCTCGACTCCGGAGGATCGAAATAGCCACCTACCTGAACCTGTCAGAGAAGCAGGTGAAAATCTGGTTTCAGAACCGCCGAGTGAAGCACAAGAAGGAGGGGAAGGGTACGCAGAGGAACAGTCACGGGGGCTGCAAGTGTGTTGGCAGCCAGGCGCACTATGCGCGCTCGGAGGACGAGGACTCCTTGTCGCCGGCCTCGGCCAACGATGACAAGGAGATTTCCCCCTTATGAGGGAGGAGGGCCCCTCCCCCTCACAACACCGGCTCCTGGCAGCCCTAAGCAAGGCCAACGCGGGGCGGAGAGGGACAACTCAGGGGCCCAGATCCTTGCAGATTCGGTGATCCCATCTGGAGGAGAAGGAACTGAAGGCCTGGAACTTACGAGCTGACCTGACCCTCGGGGTCTCCTTCTTGACCCGTTTATGTGGAGCATCAATCGAAGTTTATAGAACTTTATAGATTGTTTTTAGACAATGTAAATAACCTAGAATTCAACTTGGTCTCATCTTATAGCTGAGGAAAACAGGGTTGGTTTCACACTGAATGGGGGTTTTTGAAGGCGCATGTTATTTCCCCATCCCTACAGTCGTTCAGAACCTGAGGAGAACACAGGGTTTCTTGATTATTATCTGTGGATCTAGTTGTTTTAAAACGAAAATATTGACATTGCAAGTAATTTAGAAAATTAAACCCAGTAGGTCCTGCTTTCTGAAATTTTGCCTGGGGAGAGTTTAAGATCCAAGTCGCTGGAAGTCCCTTTTATGTGGATAGTTTTATATAAAAATTATATTTATATTTATTTAAATAAATGAAACAAAATAGAGATTTTAAATGTGTGATATTGCTCTGCTCATCATCTCTTCCCCTCCACCTGCTTGTTGAGGGAAAGTCATGGACAGAAAGAAAAGCTGAAGACTTAGAGGAAAATACTGACTAGAACTTGGTGATGTGGCTGAGGGAGTTTGCAGTTCTGTAAGTTTTCCATGTAACAACAACTTCTTCCAAGGTGACACCTTTAGTCATAATGCCACCTATCCTCAAAAGAGGTGCCCCTTCACGGTGGACAGGACAAATCACTCCATTTAGAGGGACACTGACAGAGACAGGTAAAATTTGCATTTAGCCAGGAGGGGTGAAACTCCTTTACCTATTATTTATTTGCTGTGACAGTTCCCCCCTTTATTTTTCCTTTTCTCTCCCATTTCTAAAACTTGTTAAGGAATTTGCATCTGAGAATAGTTTTATGAAGGACAACAATCCATCAAACAGATCACAAGAAAACACAGGGAAACTTTCAAATTTCACTGCCAGTGACTGGAAATGCTCTTGGTTGCTTGGAAATCAGCTGGGCTACTTCAGTGCCAAGAAGATAAAGTCCAGGGCAGGAAAGTATTCTATCCAAAGCTTTACACCTTCATTTTTCAAAACAGTTCAGAGATGTTTTTGGACCCTGGGCAGTTTTGTTTTGAATTTCTCCTGGTCTCTCCAAATTAAACCTAATTTGGCTGAGGTTTCTTTTTTTTTTTTTCACGTCCACTTCTTAATCCAGAGTATTGGATGGGCTTCCTCCTTTCCCATTGCCTATCAGAGTCAATCCTTGCAAGGCTGGTCCAGAGAAGACTTTCAGCCTCAGTAGGGCATTCAGTGCAGCCTGGGCCTGTCATCCACTGGAAAGAAAAGGACGCTGGAGGCCCCGGAACACCAAAGGCTGTGATTTCTGATTATTTCCTATAAAGATGCCAGCCATTAGATTGAAGCCACAAAAAATAATTTCCAACACACATACACAAAACTTCTTTAGGTCTGATTTACTTTAGGCAGGTCGGGGCCGAAACTTCCCCAGGTGCTACTGGGCTTTAAAAATGTGTGGAAGCCAGTTTGAGAACAAGAAGATGGGGAGACTGTGACAACGGCCTCCTCTCCACCCGTTCTTCTTCCCCCACGACACACACACACAGGAGCAGGTAGGCTCAGGAGAAGGAAAAGCCCTCTTTCAGACCCCTGAGGCACCGCCGGGACAGCAGGGAGGAGGGCCCGCCCTGGTCTTGCTGAATGGGGATCTGCCGCCGCTTTGTGCGACTTAGCTGAGCTCGGTGGTACACAGAGGTCCTGGGCAGCCCGCTCACGCCTCGGGATCCCTGTCCTCCCCTCTCACCCGCACAACCCCGGGCCCCTCGCCCTGTCTGCCGCATAAGAAAAGAGGCACAGGCTCACGCCTCTCCAGATGATCCTGCTTTCTTTTACCCAAGAAACAAACTTCTCCGCGCGCGGGAAAGAGGTGGGAGCAAGGGAGTTTGCATGCGCAGAAAACAGGCGAGTAGGGAGAATAATTCCTTCGCAGGAAATAAGGACAAAGGGCCCCTGCTGGGGCTCTCTATGCTCCTGCCCAAAGCTAAGCTTCATCTCGATGTCCCCCTCCCATTTACACCAGCCCCTCCGCCGCCCGCGCTCTGGGCGGGAGTCCTCGCTCAAGTGCATGACCAGTCTGCACCCCAGCCTTCCAGCCTTGTCCGGGTCCCTCGCTCCAGGCCCTGCCCCCGGAGCATGAGGCCGCGCACTTGTAACACCTGGTGCTGCGGGGCACGGAGAGACGCGGTGCCAGCCCCCCTTAGCTGACTTCGGTCCCCTTGGAAAGCCTCAGCCCCTCTGGCTCCGATCTTTCGGGAAATTCCCTAGGGAAGGAAGAATGCGCAATGCATTTCTCTTCAGAGGGAAACAGTCTCGGGCTAAGATACCTATTTAAAAGTTGGGACCCTTTTGTAAAAAGAGAGATTCCCCAGGATTCCCTGGTGGTCCTCCTTCCAATACATTGCACACCCAGGGGACTTTTTGTTACTTTCAGAAGGGAGCCAGGTCTCCTTTCAAATCAGAATAAGGCTTTGGGACTCTGGATTTTAAAGGCCTCCAGTTTCACTTTAGATTAAGAATACCTGAGCCAACACTCACACACACAAATACTCTGCTAAATAATCTAGAGATCAAACCCACTAAGTGAAACTTCCCTAGATTTTTATAAGAGGAAAGTTTAAGATGCATGAGGTCACCCTTGACTATTTCTGTACTTGAGAAGCTCTGAACAGCAGGTTTCAAAGTGTCCCCACTTGAAAAACAGAAACAATTCTGTTCTCCCAACACCTTACCTTAGAGGCCTGTACACAGAGAATGGAAAGGGGTGGGGGGAATGAAAATAAAAATTAGAAACTAGACACTTGTTCCACTACCAGGAAATAGATGCGCAACAGGAGTCAGTTGTGGTTGAATCCAATGTTTCTAGAACAAGTCCCATGGTAGCTTTAAATTGGAAAAGAGCTGGGGGTGGGATGCGGAGTGGAAAGGGTGGCCTCTCACCCCTGTGCCCTGGGCCGGCCCAGACTTTCAGAGCAGAGAGGAGGAGCAGAGATCTTTCCTCCACACCCTCCCACACAGCAACCAACAAACGTCCAAGGCCAAGGGTCTGACACAGATCATGGCACCAGACAAGACTTCCTAACTGTAAACAGTGTTAAAGAAACACAGTAGCCCATCCTTAGGGTGTCAGTGGGCCCATGGACATGTTGGTGCTAGTAGACCTCCTGCCGGCTAGGGTCTTTATTTTAAAGTAGCTTGAAGAGGTCATCACAGTGCAGCCCCCACCCCACCCTTGGTTATGTGGAGTCTTTGATTTCTAGCCCCCACCTCCCTTTCCTCACTCCCATCCCATTCTGTCTGATGAGAAATGATCAGGATCAGAAATGCAGTTTACTTGGCCTAGTCTGCCTGTGGTCAGATAACTGGAAAAGGCAATTGTTTTTAACTTAAAGTGGTCACAGAGTCTATGTGTGTTCATATGTGTTGCGCAAGCATAGTGTGTGTGTGTGTGAGAGAGAGAGAGAAAGAGAGAGAGAGAAAGAGAGAGAAAAGGAGAGAGAAGGGGAGAGACAGCGAGAGACCATTCGTAATGGTCAGAGAGTTCATAGGTAGGAAAAGAAGAGTCAGCTCAAAGGTAGAAAGAGAAGAGTAACTTTCACCATTTTTTCCTCCCCACTTATATCTTTTCTGCAGGTTCCTCTCACTTTTCACCACACTCCTAGGCAGATTTTTTGAGGAAGGAGGGAGATGCTCAGAGTTGGCTTGAGAGAGGAGGAGAATCTAGCTGATAGGGCGGGGGAACTAAGGAGGAGAGCCCCGGCAAGATCTCAAGCCCAGCCTTCAGGGTGTGAGAGAGCCAAGGAGAATGACACTTCCAATAGAACCTATTTGCTAGAGGAAATCGAGTTTAAAGGAGCAATCACTCCTTTCAAAGGAGCTCCTCCCATCTTCTCCAAACACAGCCTAAAGCTGCTCTAGAGGATGAATGCAGCTCAGTGCTTCAAAGCAATTGTTCCCACTTTCATTATTCACAGGGAATCTTTGAATGTACCTGTTAAGGTGACAGACCTTTGCAGAGGGAACATTTTTTTCCTATGCAATCAAACAGTGCATTTACTAGGTTTCTATTAACATAACTTAATATAAATCTATTTTATAAATCTTTCAGCTCGCACTATTGAAAATTGAGCTTCTCTTTAAAAAAAAAAATGCCTACATCGCTTCCCTAAATTAGATAGAATGGAATCCAAAGCTTGCTATTCTAAGCCACCTAGACATATTAAAGGTAGAAGAATCTTTTGTATTGTCTTTTGTTAACGGTGGAAGTGTGGGGGAAAAAAGGCAGCTTGTTGCACAGAAGATGAGAAATTCTGCACAGGGGCCTGGGCTCCTATGGAATTGTCTGGAACTAGGGAGGGGCCAAAGAACAAAAACTCAAAGAGATTTCTTAGGAACAGAGCTGAATCAGAGCTCAGATAAAAAATCAAAAACTGAAAACTAAAAAACGGCAAAACTTCAGCTTCCAAAGAAATTTTGATCCAAGTTTTCTTCTGCTTAGAATTAATTAATTCACAGGCTGTCAGAGACCTCACAGTCCCTAATGACACTTCATGTGGAGACAGACATCCTTGTCTGCTGCCATAGAGGACTTCTTATTCTCAAGTGCATTATCCAAAATTCGAGCATCCAGTTGTCTCTGAAAATAGTGTTTTGTGCTCTCTTAATACCCTGATGTCAATGCTGCCCCCTGCACTGGGCACTGCTTTTCTTCAAGCTGAGCACTATGCTTTCCTGAACCCCCTTGTACCTTTGTCCAGCATTCCAAATCCCTAACCCAAGAAGGCCCCAGGGGCTCCTCTGAGTGAATCCCAACAGATCGGAAGTGTGTGCTGTGTGCTTAAGAAAGTAACTAGTTTCAGAT